TAATAGCTAGTTGCTCACCTGAGACGGCGGACCAGGAAAGATGGCGGAGGGACTGTAGAGGAAGAGCGCAGCATCTGTCTCCTTCTGACTCTCTCCTCCATGGTCTCCTGTGTCGGTCATCCCATGGTCTCCCATCACCACCAGCAGGGTGTCGTTCTGCAGGCGGTCGATCACAGCCCTGGAAGGAAAGACAAATACGGTAAAATGTCTTCATTATGTCGCTCTAAACGACCGGCTTTGTCTAATTTAATGTTTATCGGAGCATGAAAAACTGCCAACCTGATCACTCCGTCCATCTGGGTGAGCTTGTCGGACATGGCGGGGTGGTCGGGCCCAAACCTGTGCCCGCAGTGATCAACTCCGAGGAAATGGGCCACCAGCACGTCCCAGTCATCGCCCACCACTGCAGAAACCAGCAGAAACAGACACATGGGAGAGTGATGGACCGAAGCGCCAGCATGACGTTCAAACAGGCGCTCCAGCGCGGCGGTTTCCACGTACTGGTGGAGTAGAGGTGCTGCAGGATGCCGTTATCCACAGTGTGAAGGTCCTTCACGTTGAAGGAAGGGAAAGGCAGAGAGCGGTAGAACTTTTTAGGGAACAGGTTTTCCCAAGTGTCATCGCCCATGAAGACAACCCGTTTACCTGGGAAACAGAAAGCAGGATAAACGTTCAGTCCTCCCAGAATCCTTCAGTATTTTTGATTCCGGGGTGATTGTCCACTCCACCGACTGGAAATAGATGCTGCTTCATATCAGAGAAGGAAAATCCACCGCAGTGTCTGCTTCTGCTGCAGCATTTGGCTTCATGTTTAAATTAAGAAATACCAGCTGGAGATGGGATTATAGCCACGTTTACACGCCCCTTTGGAAAGTTTGTCCAGATCGAACCGAGCTCAGAACCCGAGATAACTGCTGAGTGAAAATGGTACGCAGAACAGAACCGGACAGTTCCTACAGCATAAGGCAAGTTCAAATCAAGACTTTTTAATGCCACTTAAAATATAAATTTAAGACCAACTTGACAAACACAAGAAAAACCTGGTAGCAACAAATTTACCCCAAATGTTTATTTTAACATTAACCATTACTTTGGACAAATTTCTAAATAGGAAGAAAGCTAAAAACAAACTATAAATGTCAGTTCTTTGTTTTTAAGCTGAATCAATGTTGTTACTCCTACTGTACAGTAGGGGGTGCTGTAGCTCAGTTGGCAGTAAGCTGCGTGCAAGTAAGAAAGTTTGTTACCTTCCTGTCAGTCAGTGCTCAGGGCTTAATATCCCACAGATGAGAGGACGAAAGAAGGCACCTCTTTTTTGTTAGAGAATAAAACTGAGTGTCTGAATGCAGCTTGATGAGGCTCGTTAGCAGCAGATTTATGGACCTACAGCTAAAAACCTTGCAGCCCTTGGACAGCGGAGCGAGGTACAGGTTTAAGACTTTATTTGTTAATAAAGTTTGGACTTTATGTAATGTTTTTATGTTCTGTGTCAAAGAAAGGCATCTAAGCAGATGTATTTTGTATTTGTTTGTTTAGTTTTTACGGTGTAAATTGGTTATGAATCCATTAAATGGAAAACAACTCCACCCGTTGAGGCTCTCCGTTTCTTCTTTGGTCTGAGGGACTGCTACACAAACAAATAACAGATTTATTTGTAACAACTACTGAACTGGATTCACTAACTTTGCTTTGTTCCCTACTGTATCCCTCTACTTTTGCCAAACATTTCCCTGAGATTTGTTTCTACTGGCGCTGTTGGTGATGTGAGAGATGCTGTGGAGGTGTCGCAGAGAAAAGGGTGGAACAGAACGGAGAAATATCGGCTCCTTCTCCATAAATTAATTTTGATTCTTCGAGTTTCACGCTTCGTAGGTGTGTCTCCACTGCCTCGATTCCCATCGTCCCTCATCTACATTCCCTGTTAGTGGTTTTAGCCATGCAGAAAACTCTTGGATGGCCTATTTATTATTGAATTTAATCTTCCCCATGTTGTCCAGATAAAAACGTTACTTCATCTTTTTTATTGTTGATGAAGATTCTCAGTCATCCAGGTCGTAGTCATTTCCTAAAAGTTTAAAAAAACAATCCACTGGACTTGGTTTCCAAAATTTGAAGACGTTTCGCTTCCCCTCCAGGAAGCTTTCTCAATTCAAATGTCTGGATCTGCAGTGAGTTTGAGTCTTTATATAGGCAAGGCTTTGTATCGCTTGGAAACATGCAAATGGAAACCGATGAGTTGGTCGTTTGGTTCCATTGTTAGCCTGTAATATCTGAAACCCGTCTATGATTCTGAAGGTCGGTCGTTAAAGGGGGGGATTGTCTCCTGTAATACTTGAAACCTGTCTATGATTGTTAAGGGTCGGTCGTTAAGGAGGTATTATTGTTAAGGAGTATAAGGTCTATATAAAGACTCAAACTGCGGATCCAGACATTTGAATTAAGAAAGCTTCCTGGAGGGGAAGCGAAACGTCTTCAAATCTTGGAAACCAAGTCCAGTGGATTGTTTTTTGAACTTTTACGGAATGGATTACAAAAATAAAATCCTATTTATGATGTGTTAACAATTTTAAGACCTATGAAAGACTGATTTAAGACATTTTAATACCAATTAAGGCCTTGATTTTATATTGAAGAATTCAATGCCTTTTAAGACTTTTTAAGGATCTCCAGGAACCCTGGAAAGAACCAATCAAAGCTGTTCACGTCATCATAAGTGAAATCTTACATCAGAATGTAGCTGTTTTATTTTTGTTGTTGCTGTTGTGCTTCTGAAGGTGCAGCTCACCCATCTGTCCCAGCTGGTGGATGAGGTTATCCTCCAAGATGGCGCTGGATGCAAAGTTGTTGCCGACATCCACAAAGGTCGGCAGGGAGCCCGTGGTGAAGCCCTTGATCCTCTGCATGGTGGTGGTCGGTGGGTCTGCTCTGAACGGGTACAGGCGGCTCTGGCTGGGCCTGGAGGACACCGCCTCCTCCAACACCGGCAGCTTGTTCTCGTAGGGTCGCGGCGCGGTGTTGCTTCGGTCAAACCGGGCGAAGTCGATCTTCAGGGCGTCGATGATGAGGATCACAGCCCTGCGGAACCGAGGCCGGGACTGGCAGAAGTCCAGCGGCTCCACGCCGGGCTGCAGCACGTCCCCGCAGGCGCTGGTCCGGTTCACCTCCAGCCTCACCAGCAGGAAGCCGCCCACGAACAGGTAGATGCCCACGAAGTAGACGGCGCAGAGCCAGACGAGCAGAGACAGAACCGTCAGTCCCTTCATCCTGAGCGGTGACAGCGCGTCAGAGGAAACACAAGAAATCTACCAGTTATAAATATGATATATATATATATATATTTAAAAAAATCAAAACGTGTAACTTTGGAGAAATAACCGCCCGCTCGGTGTGAAAGTAAAACAGTTAAACCGGCTAACAGCACCGAGTTAACCCTGCTAGCTGTGGCTAAACCTTCCTGTCTCAGTCACTGACCTTGTATCCGCGTGGATTTCACCTCTCTGCGTGGAGGCGGTCGTGGAGCTGTGTGTATGTAAACAACACAGAAGTCCTGGTGACTCAGGTAAACACGGAGCAGACGGGAGGCTCCTTCACCTTCATTTGGACTCATTCACATTCCAGGCAGGAAACCCGGCGGAAGTTCACGGCGGACTAGTTTTCCTGTAACCACCGGAGGTGTTACATCTTTTTTAGTCCGGGGGCAGCAAAGAAAACGCTTTTCAGAAAACTCAGCTGTATCTTGATTAAATCAAATTTATTTAGATGTTATTGCTTGTAAAATAACGCTGCAAAGCGAGAAGTGCAAAATAATGTAAAATTGATACATAAAATAATTAACATATACTTTTTCCCATCAATGTACTATTTAGTCCCAGGAGAAAAATAATTGGGGTTCATTTTTCAAATTAATATAATAACCATATCATGTATTCGTTTATATATACCACATTTCCAAACTAAATATTTAATTTGAAAGTTAAGTATCTAATTTACATAAATATTTATTTATAAAACTTTTTGTATCATCAAGCTAAATATTTTGACAAATTAAAGTTTTTATCTTCAAATTTAATATCGAGTTTCAATCTAAATGTTTATGTCCAAACTTAATACAAAATCAGCAAATTAAGGTTTTAAGTCGACACAAGACGTTTAGTTTATAACTAAATATTTAGTTTTTGTCATAAATAATTGGAAGCTAAATGTTTAGTTGAAATAATCTAATTTAAGTCTAAGTAGTAAATCTAAGTAAATGTTTGGTTTGTAAACTAAATATTTAGCTTGCGAATTAGGACTATATTTATACTTTAGTGCTTAATATTTAGCTGGAAAATCATTTTAATGATAAGTTAAATATTTTAGTTTGTAAATAAAATAAGTTGCTACTTAATTGTTTAGTTTTAAAACGTGGCGTTTATTAATGTATTTAAAAAAATGTAGTGATATGAAAATGAGTCCACAATATTTTGGGCTAAACAGCCTAAAATACTGAAGTGAATGTTTGACTAGATAACTTTAGAATAGAATACAATAGAAAATCCCTTTATTGTCCCACTATGGGGTAATTCTGGTGTTTACAGCAGCAAAAAGATTAGAGAAAAAAATGGTCACACAAATGAAGACCTTAAAACATGTATAAGAATAACATAATAGTGAAGAGTTAAAAGATAAAACATAAAAATACTGTTCTGTAAAGTGTTTTAACAATATAAAAAACTATGCACCTGGAGATCTAAATTTGGAAAAACACTTCTGG